GGGTCAGCTGTTCTGGCTGTGCCCCCTCCCAGCTTCTTGTGCACCTCCAGCCTTCTCAGTCAGTAGAGCATGGGAAGCTGAAAAGTCCTTGACTAGTGTAAGCACTACCTAGCAACAACTAAAACATCGGTGTGTTATCAACTTTGTTCTCATCCTAAATCCAAAACACAGCACTGTACCAGCTGCTAGGAAGGAAATTAACTCTATCCCTGCTGAAACCAGGACACATGCTCTAACTTTTCATGAGCCCTGAAGTGGTCAGGCAGTTGGACTAGATGATTGTTGTATGCCCCTCCCAACTGAACTAAACCTATTCTATTCTATTCTATTCTATTCTATATTTATTTTTGCATAAGACCTACCATAACGAAGAAGCGAGTGGCCCGTGTTGAACCCATTAATGTTAATAACAAGTGGAGAAGTTAGTCTGTACTGACACCACTATTTTAGAATTGATTTGACAATGAATTTGAGTTGGTTGACAATGAATGTATCAATGTGCTACCGTTAGTGCAGCCTGGATAGCCAAGCCTGTGCTACCTTTGGACACTACATGTCAACAGTTCAGGTATTGCTAAAAACGGAATTGGGGTAACACAGATTTCAATGCTGGCTAACGGTGTAAGCTGAGTCTCTGAGGCACGCTAGTGGGGTGATAGTCATCACTGCAATGAAGAAAGGAGGTTGTAGCAAGGTAGGTGTCGGTCTCTTCTCCTAAGTAAAAGGCGATAGGACAAGAGGAAATGACCTCAAGTTGTGCCAGGGGAGGTTTAGATTGGACATGAGGAAAAATGTCTTTACTGAAAGAGTGGTTAAACATTGGACCAGGCTGCCCAGGGAAGTGGTTGAGTCACCATCCCTGGAGGTATTTAAAAGACATGTAGATGTGCCACTTAGGGATGTGGTTTAGTGGTGGACTTGGCAGTGTTAGGTTTATGGTTGGACTTGGTGATCTTAGAGGTCTTTTCCAACCTAAACGATTCTATGATTCTAAATAGGTAAAGAAATCCCTATAAAATAAACAACCTTTTTTGAGAAAAAAGAATTTAGTTATTAAACAGTTAAGAGCAGAAAGATCTTTTTTCCAAAATACAAATAGCTTGTCTAGAGCATGAGAAAACTGAAAAGAGAATTGGTAATAGCCAGGCAAACAGTTTTTCCTGTGGCAGGTCGCAATAGCTACTGACATGCATTCAATGCAAAACACGTTCTGCAGATTTTCAGATGTATCAGTCCACAGCAGATGGTGCTCACTGGGGCTCACATCTCATACTCTCTAACAGCAAGAACTGCTTCTGAGAGCTCTGTCTAGAGATGATTGTGAAACCCTTCTCAGTGATGCAACAACAAATACATACATGTGGGTTTGCCAGCAGACATTTTCGCCTACAGATAGCAGTAGGGGCATTTCATGAACGCAGACAGGATGTGGCAAGCATGAGGTTCGATCCCAGAAATTCTTCACCAAGATTTTTCTTCATGACAGCAAGTTAAAGATGCATGAGAGTGAATTTGCCTGTTCTGTCTGAAACATATAATTGACATTCAGGCTAAGTTTAGATAAAGCACCTCAGGAACATCCTAGATTTGCAGCAGCATGAAGCTCAGCACGTACTATAGGAACAGGGTAAATCCTTAACTACAGCAAGCTTCAAGCTACTCACTTACACTTTAAATGGCACCCAAGCAATTCAGTTTAAAGCTGACTTGGCTGTCTTTAAACTACACTGCTTTCAAAGTAGACTATAGTGCTATCTTAAATCAGGTTAAAAACTGGTTTGATCACAAAGGTTAAGTTCATCCTGTCTAACTTTAGAAATTAATTTGCCATATGAGAGGCCTGAGGGTATTCAAAACACCCGTATGGGGCTGGCAGGTATGGGACAGGACATATGGTAAGGTCATGCCCTCTGGACAGGCACTTGAAGGCCAGGTAATTTATTCTAGGGCCTTTCAAATAGCACTTGATGCTTATGCTTAGACAGCTGCATCAAGCACTAGCTGTTCAGAAGTCCAACACCTGGGGCAAGATCCAGTTGCCTACATCTACATGCATAGTGCTGACTACTTAATGGCAAAGACTCAGGTACCCAAGACATCCACACAGAACAGGGAAACATGGCACAAAACAAATGGGGGCCCATGTCTTTCTAGAGAAGCACCTGGAAGCTATGTGGGACACTGCATGTCAGATTTCCTTACATATTTATGTGTGGGCAATTGAACCTCACCCCCAAGTTGGCTTTGATTCAAGGTTCAGATACTTGATTTGGTATCTAAACCTAATATAGCTGTCTGCATGTAAATTATTCAATGGAGATCTAATTACTACACTGGAAGAGCCTAGACAACTGATCAAATGTAAGTGCCTATTCTTGTTTATCTGCCATCTGATGTCATGGGTCTCAATTCTGCCTGAGCTCCCAAACCAGGACTTTCCCACTCATGAAACCTTTCACTTGGCAGACAAGGCTTACCTCTAGAATTCAACATCTAATTCTAATTGGGCTGCTATCCCAAATTTGAGAATACTATACTAGATGCTGCTGTAACAAAACAAACAAATGTGTGGGTGTGAACTTGTGCTTGAACTTGACTCCCCAAACTTTGCAACCCCAGACCTAAAACTTATCACTAGTAATGTAGCATTATACGCTAATTCTGTATTTTTAAAACTCTATGAGGCCTGTTACAGCTCTATAATGTAAAAAGCTGCTAGAAAACAATCCTGGAAATATGGACTTGTATTAAGTCACTCAGATTTTATGGTCATTATGTAACATGCATATGTAGCTACGAACTATTACAACACAGCCCTCAGAATGAGCTAGTTCCTGTAACGAACGCTTCCTTTTTCCTTTTTTCTTTTTTCTCATTGTTAAGGATTTATTTGGTTCTTTTCTGGTCCAAAAGCCTATAAATATGACAGAGAGAAGGAAAATGTGATTAATATTGTGAAAACCAGTTCCTAGACTGGATGCTATAACAGTCCTCAGCAGATCATCAGATGGAAGTAGAAGAAAGTGAAAACTGGACCATGAGGACCAGAAAAAAGATCACTCCTTTTCTAAGCTTTTGCTTTTATGTAAACACAGAGCATGAGGAATGCTACAACTCAGCCTAGCAATATAAAACTATTCCAATAAATACATCAGTGTTGGCATTTTGAAGAACTTCATTCTCACCTCAGAAACTCCTGGACCGAGAATATTGTTACTTTTTTCCTACCTAGAATCAATGAAATTCTAATGAAATTCAATGAGTAATCCTTTTTGACCACTTCCTAAAGACCTGCATTTCCAAGGAACAGGGTGGCATAATGGGAAACCATTGCAGAAGCTGTGACTAACCAGACCGTTTTTCATATCTAGCTCTTTGAGCAAAAAAGTGCAAGCAAGATTTGTCAAACATGCTGATAAAAGGGAACAGCTATTTATTGCTGTTACTGAATTTAGAAGACATTATTGAGCAATCCTGAAAATCAGTATAAACACACAAGGAAACAGTTGTCAAGAATTTAAAAGGCTTGTTCAAAGCCACAAAACTATCAGAAAACACAGTAACTCTTTACAACAGTGTCCATAAAAGACTGTCTAAGATAAGGGCAGATTACTTTTCCCAAGATAGAAATGCAGGTGCCATTTTAACAGATGAATTCTCCATGTCATCAACATCATAGATTGAGAGTCTGATTTTTTCAGTAATACATCTCCTAGATGCGAATTTGGAGAACCCATACCACCATCTCTCCACGGGAACAGAATCCTCTCATACAAGGAAAACAGGACATTTCATCAGATTTTGGCCTCGTGGAGAGAGAAAGGAGAGAAATAATTACTCTGTGGAGGAAGTGAAACTACTTCTGGGATCATATGCACTAAGCAATTGATTGCTTTGATTTTTGTACATATTCTAGGTTATTGAATAAAAACATTTTAAAACACCAAAATAACTAACTAAATAAATATAAAGAAAATGTGTGTTATAATTATAAATTATCAAAATACAGCTTCCAGGTGACACTACTATCACAGTAGAAAACACCTTTATTTGTGGACTTATAAGTAAACAGTTAGTTCATATCTATAATTCTTGTACTTAAATATATTTGCATGGACTTGTAAATATGCCAAGAAACTTGTGAGCTAACTGGATTTTAATAAATCTAGCAAGACGCTGTGCACTGATGTTCCATCAACAATGGTAATTTTCTAATTAAAAATCAAATAGGATATTAGAAGCTATCTATTCTTTGTTATGCAATTTTTCTTGTTGGGATTTTCAGTGAAATTTTGAGAATTTTAGCATAACATAGTACCTCTGAACCATCCAGATCCCATTATTTTCCAATTATTTTCATGCCAAAATTTTTGAATGAAAGAGAAGATTGCAAAAGATTCAGACTTGCACAATGGGAGTACATC